TTTCAGAGTAATGTTTTTAAAAGGCTTTTGAGTTCGATCCAAAGACGAACCTCACCACCACCAAAACGCAAACCCAGCCGCATCCCTGCACTCCAGCAAATTTCCTCTGCCATAATCAAATAATTATTTTTAGTAAAGCAGTTATTAGGTTTATAACTCATTTGCCACTTAAATTTGTGCAACCAACCAAGGCGATCTAAATAGGTTTGAGTTGCCCCTTGGGTCCGGGATGTAAGCGGTAAGAAGGAGGATTAATTATGGGTGTGTGCAGCAGGAGGACACAAAGGCTGTCCGGTGGCGCGGGGAGCAGCGGCGGGTCGCAGCCCCTTGCCCGGGCGGGGCCGGGCACCCCCCGGCAAAGCCCCAACTCCGCTGCGTTTATTATTGAGCTGCCGCGGAGCGAAGGCTGGGGCTGGGGGAGCTCCAACTTGTTGGCAGTAAACAAGGCGCTGTCAGGTGATGATGCTCCGGCGCTTTCGAAACATCCCGAACAAAGTGTAAACGAGACGTATTTTTCATATAGGAGCATCGATATGATCTCTTCTCTCCCATGTAGACAAGGTCCATTCTTTTGTGCACGGGATGACAAGATCTGACCTCTGGAAACGTACTCCAAGCACCCACCGGCATCAGCCTGTTAGTTCTAATGTCATTTATTGCCGACACGTTTTGTTATCAGCTGCGGGGTGGGGGTGGGTGGGACTGGGGGTTACTCGGAGCCCAGGTTAGCTGTCAGCTTCTCCCGTTTAGCAGTACCCAGGCAAGAATGGCTTTGCCAAACTGTTCCAGGAGCTGATGCTATTTGTTACCACGATTAGGGGGGGAAAAAGAACATTCACACTGACATGGGTTTCTATAAGCAAACGCCGAGCAATTTTCCTCAGCGCAATGCATCAGCAAGTATATCCAAAAGGGCTTAATCTACTTCTTGCAGGTTAGGTGCAAGAGGAATCAGCGAGGGCTGCTCCGGGATGCCATGAAAATCCCAGCTCATTGGCTTGGCCGCGATAGGACGAGGCACATCAAATGCGAGGCGGAGAGGGACAGAATCAATCATCCCCCTTGGCTGAGGAGTGAGCCCTCGCTCTGGAAATAATTTCGAATAAAACTTGTGTAACCAACTGTAACCATCTAGCTTCCTCTGAGCAGATCGTTGAGAGGGGGAAAAAAGTAAAAAAAAAAAAAAAAAAAAAGTGACAGAAATAAGACAAGAAAAGCAATCTGGACCGAATTAATAGGAGCATAAAGTTTTTATCCGTGTATAAGGATAATATATTAAGCCAAAAAGGAGACAGGTTATCTCAAAACAGGATTAATATGTGTTCGTATGCAGGATTAGACTATCTCATCCATTTAAAAACAGCGCCTCTCCTCCTCCCCACAACACTTTATTATATATTAAAAAAAAAAAAAAAAAAAAAAAAAAGAGAGAGAAAAAAACTTTCCTCGCTGGAAGCACTTGGAAAATGCGTTTTTTAATCGAGAGCCTTTTTTTTTCTTGCAATCAAATGCAACTGATGGCCCTGAATAAGCCGCCTTGTGAGGAAACGGGCCATTTTTTAAAACCTGTGATCAAAACAGACCTGTCTTCAGAGAGAGCACAGCAGATTTAAATGTTGGTCAAAAGGAGTCACAACTGTTCATTAAAAGCAAACCCTAACTAGTGCTAATGTATAGCCATTTTGTGAGCTCAGGACTGTGGAAAGAGGCGAAAAAAGTCTGAGAGTGTGAGCTGATGCCGTGCTGGCTGGCAGTGTGTGGTCTATTGTAGGGAATGTGCTTTTTCCACTGAACAGAGAGCCCCCCTCTTTTATTCCCCAGCTCTACTGCACCTGCACTGGATCAGGGAGCTACTGCCATTCACCACATCAACAGAGAAGACATCTCTGACAGCACTCAATTCATTACATTTCTTCCTGCTTTTCAAACCAACACAAAAAAAAAAAAAAAAAAAAAAGAAAAAAAAAAGTATTGCCAATCAGTGCCGGGGGGGCAGGGAAGAAATCTTACAATACTTCATATTCGTCACTCATTTTGGATTTCATTAGTGAGAAAACTCACTTCTTAGCCAGTTATAACTTCTTTCTTTTTATTTTTCCTTTTTCTTTCTTTTCTTTCTTTCTCTTTCTTTCTTTCTTTCTTTCTTTCTTTCTTTCTTTCTTTCTTTCTTTCTTTCTTTCTTTTTCTTTCTTTCCTTCCTTCTTTCTTTCCTTCCTTCCTTCTTTCCTTCCTTCCTTCTTTCCTTCCTTCCTTCCTTCTTTCTTTCCTTCCTTCCTTCTTTCCTTCCTTCCTTCCTTTTTCCTTCTTTCCCTCCTTCGGGGGCTGCTGGAAGCGGGACCTGGGGCCCGTGCCATCTCCCTCTCCAGGGCCGGGCAGCTCCGCGCCGGGGCTCCGCAGCCCCGGGAATGGAGCGAGGGGCCGATGGCGAGTCTCCCCAGGAAAGAGTTTATTCATAATTCATGGTAGCAGAGCAGCCTGCACTGGGGAGACAGGGAGAAAGAAGCGGCCAAAGAGACCAATTGCGGGGGGGGCGGGGGGAAGGAAGGTGCAGGGGGTGTTACAGGGGGTGCCGGCAGGGGCGGCGGGCCGGCGGCCACCCGAGGAGGGGACGCACCAGTCCCCCTAACCCGTAGAGAAAGTTATTATTGGCCAAACTCTTCGAAAGGGACTCCGGGGAATTTGGGGGTAGCTTGGCTTCTTCAAGAACCGTTTTTCAGAAGCATTTGCAAGCGAAAGAAACCGAGCCGAGTGGTTTAGATTCAGGTATTTGATCTCGCCGGACCCAGACATCTAATTAGAGTGGCCTCAGCGATTGAAACGGTGTTAATTCCCATTGTTCCCCGCTCAGATCCCTTGGCCCTCCACCGCTGGGATTCTCTCCTTTTCAAAATTCCAAATAAAAATCTTTCTACTTGAAACAAACAAGCAAACAATTTCTGTATTTCCCCCCTTTCTGGCCCATTTTCCTCCATCGCGAGCAAAAGCAAACACTCCTGGGTATTTTTTCGCAGACGCTGGCAAAGAATCACACCCCCTCTGTGGGATCTTAACAGAAATAAATCACAAGGAGCTCTTGCCTACCTGAAAAGTAGGAGGAAATCCGAGTGTCTGGTTTCGGGTGTAAAGTGTGTATCGATAGACACAGCCGTCTCCGAAACGGGACCCAATTAATCTATGGGTTTCTTTACATCACCCCCCGTTCGGATGTGTGCTTTGGAAATATTGATTCATTGCGACAGGAAAGTCGCAACTACTGTGTGTGCATAACATGGAGAGGACATGGAGCGAGAACCCTCAGCAACGCAAAGCCCACTCGAGCGAGAGCCAGATTGCTTTTTAAGCTAAAACTAATAATTTCATAACTGATTCACATTCAATCTGGCGCCGATGACGTCACGGGGCATTAGCATACGAGGAGGGATGAAGCCAGTGTGGCTGGAGTTGATAAGGTGCCTCCTGAGGAATTCTCTGCTTGTTTTAATACATTAATTATTTCTCCGTCTTCCTCAACTTTTGCAATTTGTAAGAGCTTAAAGGAACCATCATTCCCAGCGATGGCAGAAGGACACGTTGGAGAGCTTCTCCCGCGGCAGCCGCCCCAGAGCCTGGCAGCCGAGGGCAACGTGGGGATGAGCCCCAGCCCCGCTCCCGGAGCCCCGGCCCGGCCGCCCTGCAGAGCGCTGCGGGATTTGGTTCTAATTAAGCCGGTCCCGGCCCCGGCCCCGGGCGTCCCTATTCGCCCGAGTAAGCTCGGCTCGCTCGGACGGGCCTCCCCAGCGCCGGGAGCTTCCTGCAGGAGGGGAGGCGGGTTTGCAGGATCAGGCCCTCAGCCTGGGGTGTGTGTGAGCTGTGAGTGTGCATGAGTGAGTGCGAGTGTGTCGGTGTGTCAAGACACCCCCGCGGAGCCTTCCTACGGGAAAGCCTCTGCAGAGGCCTGTTTCTTTCCAGAACCCGGTGGGATTCCCTCCCTCTACCCTCTCTCCACCTCCCTCCCCCTCCCGTTAATCACGACCTTCTGCAAAAAAAAGGACCCACATTACGTCATCAGCCCTAACTGCTGCGGAGATGATGGGGTCACCAAGGACCCGGGGCGGGGGAGCCTGCGGGGGCCGGGCCTCCCCTCCCGCTCTCCTGGGGCAGCGGAGCCTGCCCGGGAGCGGGGGCACGTCCCGGCCGGGGACCAGAGCAGCCCTGTGCCCGCTGCTGGGATCCAGACAGAGGAGCCGAGAGGAAAGAGCTCAGCTCCTGCGCTGGGGCTGACAGGTCACCCCCGAGGTCCCGCTGCCCCCAGAGCTTCTAGGAACGGCAGGCATCGCCGTTTTGGCTCCATCGAGGTCCGCCGGGCCCCGCGGAAGGAGTCTGACAGTCCCCCGCCCTGTAGGGTGCCCCTCGGGGACCCTCCCGAGCCTCGGGCCATCTCGCTTCTCTGAAGAAGCCAACCGCCTTGGAATACCCGCTGGGTGACTTGAGTCTGAAACACACTTGGAGGGAGGGAAGAAGGGAGGGAAAGGCGTTTTTCTCGGGGAGGGAGGGACGGGGAGCAAAACACAAACAAAACACATGGAAACCCTAATATAATTAAATTTTTAAAAAGATAACTTAAAAACCCCCACGCTGTACAAGCTCTCGCCCATATGGCAAAGGTTCTGCGAGGCAGGGGTCAGAGACAAACTCCTGCAGAAACTTCTCCGGCCCGGCCCGGCTCCGTTCCCCGCGGCCGCCTCCGGACAGGACCCCCGTCCGGCGGGCTCCCCGCACTCCTGCCCACAGGTCTCCGACGGCTCCTGTGGGAGAGCCGGGCCGCGTGGACCGACCTTCCGTGCGGTGCCGTGCGGGTCTGGGCCCGGCCCTCCTGCAACACTGCTAAACTATAATGAAAAATTACAGCTCGTTCCGGCGCGCCCCCTCCCCCTGCACGCACAGGCGCACACGGACACAAACACACGCACACACAGAGTCACACACGGTCACACTCACACACAGTCGCTCTCACACACGTCTCAGCCGCAGCAAACCCGCTGGGAACTCCAAAGCAAAGCTCCAAAACCATCCCGCGAGGTTCGGGGTTTCGCTTTGTTCCCTCCTCCCCGCTCCGCCCGCCCGCACCTGCCGGCGCGGAGGCTCCGCCGGGCCCGGAGCGGCGCGGCCGCGGTGCCCGGGCAGACCCAGCCGGGCCGTCCCGGAGAACGGAGCTCGCCCTCCCGCTCTCGCACAGCCAAACGTGCAGCTCCGAGAATTTCCACCCCTTGGGCTCCTTTTCTTTTCAATTCGCAAGTGAACCAGCCCCCACACTCACTGCAGCGCTGTACGTCCTCGCCAAGTGGATTGGTTCCTCAAAAGCAAAACAGTACCAAACTTCTCGCAATTCCCCGTGCCATCGTCAGAAAAACTGGTTTTAATTACCAAAACTCAAATAGCGGCGGTGCTAACTAGCAGGCGATCAAACCGCAATCAAACTTCAATCTCTGAGCAGTTAGCTATAAACTGTCAGCAATTGAAAAGTAAACCTGGTGCACACAAAGGCTCTGTTTAATTTTCTTGTTGTAATGGCTCTAAATGAGGACCCCATCACTATGCAGTTAAGCGGTGTTGCTTGTCCCCCTGAGGCGCTGATCAGTTCTTTTTAATGTGAGAAAACTGGCAGCTCGAAGCCCGTCAATGGAGCTCCCACAACAAAAGTCCTGAAAAGCTGAATGAATTGGGTTTGTAATTACTGCTTCCCTCTCCCCCCTTGCAGCTTATCTCTTATTCATTCAACATATATTATTGTCACCTAATCGCACACTCCCAACATTATTTTGGTGGGTTTTTGTTTGGTTTTTTTTTTTTTTTTGGTATCTACTATTGCGGACATGTTTGTTGTAGAAATTAAACAAAATAATCCTCCCTTCTCTCTCCCCCCCTCAACAAGAAAAATGTTGAAACGACAGTGTCAGGCGAGGCTGGCTGGCCCTAAAAACGGAAAGACGAAGCTCTCCTGCCATCTGAATGTCTGCGTTTTTGCATATATCCTCAGAAATCTCATAAGCACCGAAGCAGGTTTTACATTTTAGTATTTGAGTTAGATCAGGGTTTAAATAAGTGAAGTGTATCTAATCACACCTATCAGTAATGGGCCTCTTTCTTTCAGTGGGACCTGTATTATATACCACTTAAATTGCTGGGCTATCTACCTCCAATTCGGAGGCAGATATACATGTCTGCTGCCCGTTGGGGATGAGGAGGAATTAATATGGAGACAGAACACGCTGCTTCGGGGATCACCGCCACTCCTGATGTCCCACACGGCACCGATGGGCATCTCAAGGAATCAAAATGTATTTTCGACCAAGAAATGTCTGACGGCAGCCGGCAGCAGCTCGCCCGCCCGCGGGCTGGAGCCGGGGCTGCGAGGCAGAGCCTCTCCCCAGGTCCCCCACCGCAAGAAGCTGTCGGTTGCAGAAATAAGTACAGCTATTACAACCAAATCTACTAACAGTCTAAATAATTAATTGAACCATTGCTCTTTGACCCTTAGAAAGTCCAGTAGGGACCCGTTTGTAGTAATAATACCCCCGAATGAGCCCTTGTCAAATATTCATTTAGTGGTTAATGTGAGCGATTTCCCCCTGGGACAGTCTGTAATACCAGCTTCCCAGCTTTGGCAAGAAACCCTGCTAATCTACCTCTCCAGTTCCACAAAATATTTTAACACCCCAGTACTTAAAAAGCCGTAAAAAAATCACAGGGGAAACTATAATCTTATCCTTGGGTTCATTTTGGCTCTGCAGAAGGTTAGGGAAACATTACACTGGTGCTCTTGGGCCGAGCATCACCCTGGCTATAAAGAAGACAACAATTCACGAAAAGGAAACCACGGAGAGCCCTAAAGGTCTTCAATAACCAAAATAAAAACATACCCACGAGCTCTGCTACACATTTCAGCTGCCATAAACAAAAGCCCAGGATAATGGCTTAGGTGTAAATGGCTTTTATTGAATGTGTTGAATTTAAAATAAGCAGTGGACAATGGCGTTCCTCCAAGTAACACTTTAAAAATAAACCCGTTCAGCTGTACGTGTAAAATGCTTTGGGTTATCCTCTCTAAACGGATAAATGGATGGATGGATGGATGGATGGATGGATGGATGGATGTAAGGAATCTGTCCAAGGGATATCAGGTTTCAATCACATATATTCTGCATCGTACTCCGAAATCTAAGCTTAAACAAATTGCCCATATAAAAAGTTGCTGAATTCACTAAGCCTGAATATGTGGCTTAGTGCCTTTTGTTTAATGGTATTAGCTCGCCTTCTCTATGCGAATTGTAAAAGGACCAACATTTCCAAATACCCCCCTCGAATATTTTAGTTAGCACTTCAAAAAGGGGACAGGTTTTATTGCTGTTAATTGGCTAAGATTCGCTTTTAAAAATGGAATCGTGATATCGATTGGGCTTTTATTCCTGGTTCTCTTTTCTCAGCGAGGCGAGCGGGAGCGGGGATGTGGGCTCGTTATCACGTGAATAATCCCCAGACGCATTGCAAACGCTCACAGCTCTGAAAAAGAATATTGTACTCATTGCATTAACGTGAAATACATAGAAAAGGTTGAGAATCTGCAAAAAATGTTGTTCTGCTCAAGTACCGTGACGACACAGAAGTAAAAGGGACAAAGGGAGCTAAACACAAAACCAGGCAGTGAGCAAATCTCCACATCTCCTAGTCTGTCAATGTTAGTTTTCATTTGGATACCAGACTTCAAGGACAGAGGCCAGAACTGAGACTAAGAAATTGCACTACCAAAAAAATGTCACAACCAGCCAGGTAACTTTTGTGTGTGTGTGTGTGGGTGTGGGTGGGTGGGTTTTTTTCACCCAGTCTTCTTTCTCCCCAAGCTAAAGAGAAATCCAGTAACTAACAAGAAATACTAGAGAGAAAAGCTGAGCAACACTTGCCCCGTTCTGGAGTGTCTACTTTGTGCCTTGCCTAAATCAACCATCACGCGCTTTCCTTGCCACGCACCACATGCCATAAGCAGAAGACACGACCAGTTTGCAATCACAGTGCTCCAAATCCAAAATTTCATACCTTTTTTTTTTTTTAATTATTATTATTTATTATTACTTGCACCTCCGTCTCTCGCGTTTCCCAAGGGAAACCGCAGCAGCGTTAATGGCACCAAATAAACGCCGAGGCTTCGCCCGGGGACAGGGACTGTCGCAGCGGGTGCACATCGCCCCCTGCCCTGCCCGGGGTCGCGGGCCCTGTCGCTGGCCAGGGCCGCCAGCGCGGAGCAGCGCGGAGCGGCGCCAAGCCCTGTCCTCGGCAACTGCGGCTACGACCATACAAAGTAAAACTCTACCTGGCACGGATGGTGGATCTCTCTTCCTATTTGGCGGGCGCCACCGCTTCTCTTTGGGGCTGCGACCGGCTGCAGAGAGCGTCCGAAACGGGGCTACACCGCGCTGGCAATTTAAGAAATAGGATTCAAGAAAGAGCTGTGATAAAACGTGAATGTCTCTGGCATTCCACTGTTTTTGTTTGTTTGTTCGTTTTTTGTTGTTTCTTA